TTCAATTCTGCGCAGGCGGAAATCACCATATGTCTCCGTCAGAGTGCCAAACATGGAGGAGAGCACAGAAGTTGGCCAGTGGAGGGACAGGGAGGTGCTGGATTTAATAAGTATTTGGGGAGATGAATCTGTTCAGGCAAACAGGAAGGCTCATATCGTAACCGGGCAGTTTTCGAATCAATAAAATGACGTCTTTGTTTTTGACCATGCACGTCATTGGGCCAGTTCAATATAGTGAACCGTTCACATTGAAATCTGATATTGCCCGCATTAAAAAGAGTAATGTGAACAGGCAAACAAAAAATCAGATCTGAGCAGAAAATCAGAATTGAGCATTAAGGCCTGCAGTGTGAACGTAGTCATACAATTCATACTTCTGTTTAAGCCTAACTTTTCATTTCTTTATGGTCTTACACTATAAGTACATGAATATCAGGAGTGGCCATCCTTATCCACAAAGGGCCGGTGTGTATGTAGGTTTTTGGGATAACCTTTAGGTCAGCTGTTCAAACCCAGGTGTGAGGACTCTGCAGCCAATCAGTCCTCTAATTAGTAATCTAATTAGGGAGTTGCAGCGAAAACCAGCATACATAACGGCCCTTTCAACCCCTAATCTAAAAGTTATATAAACAAAAGGAGTCTTAATACTGCATCATAGAATTTTGTCTTCTGTTTACATTATATATTCGACCATTATTTTTGTTAAGCTTTTTAAAGGAAATGAATTGCACTGCTTATTTGTCAGGACGTCTCACAGCACCACTTAATAGGTAACACAGAATTTCTGTGTGAGCACAGGTGAAAAATAACCTCCCAAAATGTGTCCCTACCCACGTCAGAGAATCACCGGAGCCGGCTAGTATGCGAGAATGAGAGGCTGCGCCTGTCGTGTAAGAACAGCACCGTTCTGGCCATCTACTCCGCCACGTTCGGGCACCAGCTGCACGGGAGCCCCCACTGCCCGCAGGAGCACACAGCCACGCCCGACATAGGTCTGTCCAGGGGCTGGATAGCGGCAGTATGGTCTTCCTTACATGTCCTTTGTTACACTCTGATTCTCCATTAAACAAATTACTGCCCAAATTTAATCAGATCATTTGTCAGGAAGTTTGAAGGCTGTTGGAAAAAAACAACATTATGGCAACCTTTCCTGAAGACAGAGTGCTAATTCCCAGCTGTGTCAACATCTACTGACCTCTAGTGGAAATAAAGGGCAACTACTGTGAGAATCCATCTGTTTTCTATACTCGCTTTACCTATTCTGTCCAGTGACTATGCTAGAAGCTATGGGCACAAGGCAGGGAATTACTGTGGATGGGATGCTAACCCATCTTGGGGCATGCACACCATTTACACCTACAGGGAAATCAGCAACACTAATTAACCTTAGTATGTGTTTGGACTATGGGGAGAACAAGAGAACCCGAAGGTTGGGGAGAACATGCAAGCTCCACACATGGAGAGCCAGGGTGGGGCAGAGACTCAAACCCTGATCCAAGAGGTGTCCGTGTGACTAGCTGGCTGTTTGTGTGTCAAGCGGTCTGTCTGTGTGTCTAGCCGGCTGTCCGTGTGCCTAGCGGTCTGTCCGTGTGCCTAGCAGTCTGTCTGTGTGCCTAGCAGTCTGTCTGTGTGTCTAGCAGTCTGTCTGTGTGCCTAGCAGTCTGTCTGTGTGCCTAGCAGGCTATCCATGTGTCTATCAGGTTGTCCGTGTGCCTTTCAGAGTGCCTGTCACCCTCTGCTCTGAGGCGTGTATCCCGCAGATGTCACGGCAGGACAAACTGCTCCATAGTGGCCGACACGCAGGGCTTTGGGGACCCCTGCTTCCCAGGGCTCAGGAAGCACTTGCGGGTGTCCTTCACATGTGGTGAGTGACGGGCCACTGAGCCACAGTCAGCACACTGATACTGCAGGGAATGTCTGCTAACTGAGGAAGAAGGGGCCTAAAATGCAAAAAATAACACAATTGCATGGCAATATACTCTAAATGAATAATGAGTAATTTGAAAATTAATTATAAGAAGGCACCTTTCCAAAACATTAGAATGGAAAGTAACTGGAAAGACACAATTATCTATCTATCTATCTATAGAGAATACAGTTTACAAATATTAAGACAATACATAACATTGACTTAAGGGGACGTACAAGGAGCGAGATTATCCAATATGCAGTAATGCTCTATATTAACTGCACCTCAATAATGCATTCATTATGCATTATTGAACGAGCGGCATGTAAGTATACCTTAACATCCTAACATATTTTAACAGCTTTAATATACATTAATAACAAACATTATATGACTATAAGATTATAAGGTTTGTTATTATCATATAATGTTTGTTATCAATGTATACTATGGCATTATGAAGCATTATGAAGGTGCTGTTAATGTAACGCCTAACTCAATATGCTGTACACTAGACACCCTACAATACACCACACCCTACAGAAAGGAACAGACTATACAATGCAGGAGATTTTGTACCATATTGCACTTGAAGAGTAAGGTGCTATGCTCCGTCTCACCCAGTTCCCAGGTATCTGCTGGAGGATGTTGGCCAGGGCACTGTAGACCCTTTCTCCATCGCTGACTACACACACGGTAACAAGGCGCCTGTCGTGCAGCAGGCCTGTTTTCTGCTGTGCCCGGCTGATTCTCATGCCCCGAAGGGCTGCCTCACTAAAACAGGCCGCATAAAAGTCAGCTCCATAACAGCTCTGTTCCATGTCACGACGTGCGGGTGTCCCGCTGAGGTGATTTCCCAGGGGATATCTAAGGGTGAGTAGACTAGCATAGCGACTAAGGATATGGACTAACTACAAAAATACGGGGCAGTTCTTCAGAATGTGAATCAGCTGAAATTCAAGTTGGCATTTCTATGATACGAAGGTTCAGATACAAGAACACAGGTGGGGTTCAGGTGCACAGCTTTGGCACCCGACATAACAAGAAGTCTTCGCCCAGACCGCTAAGCTGCTGAGCTGCTAAGCCAGGTCCCCTCTCACCTGCAGGTGGCTGGTACACCGGCCCAGGCGCGGCACGACCAAAGAGTATGGTGCTTTTGACCAACTCTCTGGAAATCTTTGCCCAGATAAAGGGTATGTGGGGGCTGCTTGATGCATTACGCCTCAGAAGCTGCAAGTTTTCCATTGTGGGGGTGTGAGCCTGGATACCCACCAGAACAAATCCTCTTGTAGGAATCATGCAGATAATATCGTCATGGATACAGACAAATATTTCCTGAATGTTTGAATGTTATCTGGGGGATCCTCGTCAAACACAGCCATTGAGTTGTTAGGCAGCTCTTCAATCATACTAAATCTACTAAATTTAATAAGGACCTAAGTAAAAAATTTAAATAAATCAATAAAACCTCTAAATCAGGGGAAATGTCCTATTTTTTATATGTACAGTCATGGGCAAAAGTTTTGGCAGTGACACAAATTTTGAGTTTTGCAAACTTTGCTGCTTCAGTACTTTTAGATTACTAAAAGCAGTAACAAGGCAAGAATGGATCGTCATCTGTCAGGATTTGGCCCAGAAGCTGATATCCAGCATGGCAGAGAGAATTGCAGAAGTTATGAAGAAAAAAGTTTGACACTGTAAATATTGACTCTCCATAAAATTGGTGTATTTGCCAATAAAAGCCTTGAGATATGAAATGCTTATAATTGTTTTTTAGTATATCACAGAAACGTAAAAGATAATCTAAAAATGCTAAAGCAACAAAGATTGCAAAACACATTTGTGTCACTGCCAAAATTTTTGCCCATGACTGTATTGCATTTTGGTCAACTGGAAACATCTCAATTTCATAACTGACTCTAGTTATTTTATGCCCTTAGCCAGTTTATCATCCCCAAAATGGAGACCCAAGGCTAAAAACTGAAAAGATCAAACTGATCCAGGATCAGTTGTGGAGGTGACCCTGCATCCCTGCTAGTAAACAGCACTCTCGATCATGTCCACCCTCAGGTCTTCCAGAGAAGGTGGCCCTCTACTTTGTGTCTGGGATCTGTGCTGGTCTCATCTTCCTCCTGTGCCTATTCGGCCTGAAATCCACCTTGGTGCAAGATGTTAAGGAGCTGTTCTCCGACCTGAAAGATGAACTAAAAGCCCCTCAGGGCCCGCTTCCTGAGCTTACGGAGCCAGACGATGACACAGCCTCAGAGTCCTCCTTCCGCCACCTTACCCACACGTACCGGACCTCTGAGGTCTTTCGCCCGGAGCTGATGGTAAGGATGGTCAGGATTGATGGGCATGAGGAAGAAGAGGAGCTGGCAAAGGAGCTGCCCAACGGTGACATTTGGCTGGCCCAGGACTCCAGTCCCTATGCTGTCCATCAACTCCGGGCCATCAGCGGCTGACAGATGGGAATGGCCTTCACTGCAGAGCCACGTGAACAAACTTTGCACTTGAAAAGAGTGAAAATACAACTGTTTATTATTCTCTATTTCAAATTTTCATTTCTTATGCCTGGAAATACTGATAAATATTTAATGTAAGAAATCGCTTCATGTAAAGCAACCTAAAACATTAATATTAGTTATAGGTTATATTTCTAGTGTACTCTAATGTCTAGATTTACTCTGTGAGGTGCAACAGTCATCCAATAAACGTGGTACACGTCTGTAATTAAAGTATTTTCCCTTACTAAATTGTAACACATACTTTTATGATGAATGATGCCTGTTATATTCATAAACAGTTTATCGTATCAAAACTACGTCGACTGGTAGTCTTGATTACAGATACCGTGGTCTTCGTACATATTCACGATTTTATCGTTAAAAACTTGCGATTTCAGTAGTAATTGCTTCTTTTTATATACATTTGTAACTGAAAGGATGGTGTAAATGATTGGCTGAATATAACTCCTCCCGACCGGTAGAGAGTGCTGTCCGCACCGCCGGCCGTTTCCTGAACACCGCGTCACACATCGCTATTGGCGGATCATGCGTGACGTCATGTCACCAGCTCGTGTAAACGAGGAAAATACTGCGACTAATCGGTGTCCGCCCCCAATCCGGACTCTGCTTCGTAAGAAATGATCGTCCCTGGCACAAACATGCACGACTAACACTGTTGTGTAGCCGTTCCAGCAACAAGGATATGCGTGCGAAACCCATTTCATGTAGATAATGTTTTTCTGCAGCGTCTTTACTCACCTAACCAGCCATGGCCAAATTAGTTAATCATATCTTTAACTGGGCTTTGTTTTCCCGCACACTATCTGTGAGTAAATGTATTGCCGATTCATGGTGCAATTCCCCACTCTGCTTTCGTAACTCTGGGGCGAGGCGTCGCAGCCGTGTCGCCTCGTCCGTGTTTGACAGATACCCCTCCTCCCATGCCACTCTCCTCGGCTGCTTTCACAAGAAAAGGGGACAGGCGACGGCGTGAAACACACTATAACTAGGCACACATAAGTAATGGCTTTCGGTGGCCCACAGCGAAGAAAGCAGGAGGGTGTGGTTTGAGGGAATGCAACCATTTACTGCGTGTGCAATGCATGCAACATCTTATATTTAGATGACAGATCGCAGGCTGTGACGTGCATTGAGTCATTTTCAGTCAGTGACAGGTTCAGCCACACAGAGTCCTGTGTCCGTATGGAGAGAGACCGGAGCCGGGTGGCCGGCTAACACCATTAATAACACCCGTAAGGAGCTACATCGTCCGGCCAAACAAGGAGCAACCAAGGGGCTGGTTTATTATCGCACTGTCCCCTGACATCACCTTGTGGATACCTCTGTTCAAAGTGGCGGATACAAGAGTCCCGATCGATCAAAAACAGAAAGGAAAACTATATGTGTGTATATATATACGGGCCGAAGCAACAGCTGGTGATGACTTTTAACTGAACGTGATGGATACATTTAAGGGCTTCGGACTGGACGAGGACAAGTGTCTGACTGTATCCTTTCAGTATGCAGTTTGAGGTTTGGACTCAGCGAAGTATGCTAACATTAGTATCTGTCAAATGCTGAAGGGCGTTTAATAACTAAGAGAAAGTTGTAACCCACGGAAAGCTATTCTGCTATTTAGTGGCAAAGCGAAAACATTAAGTAGTTTGTTCTCAAAGGTTTTGTCTTGCTGTTGTACTGCATGTGTCAGTAGCCTGGTTGAGTCTCATGTCGGCCCTAAGACCAGGAGTTTCATTCCATTTTATTCTCTATTAACTAAATAACCTGCTTCTTTTATACTGAAGTACGTAAAACGTGGTTTACTGTATAATTTAGGGTTAGCGTTTATCAATAAAACAAACGAAAACCCAAGTTCAGACACGACTCTTACACGTATTTGTTTCTCAAACTATATTTAAGTATTTAGACTGAATGTAATTTTTATCACTACACGTATAACGATGTTTTATGTTATATTTGGGTGGTATACCGATAGCTACAACAAAAGACGAGGCTTTTGGCGGGTTGTGTGAATGTTATCAGTGCTATAATTAGCATTCAAACCCAGTAATTGACAGGTAGATATATACACACATATATATATATATAT